CCCTCCACACCTGGGGGTCCCCAGGGACCCCCTGCCACCTCCAAGGGCCACCTGGATGTCCCAGGCTGTGGGGGGCTGAGGGGGTCTGGGGGTCGGGGTGCCCGCCCCGGGGTGATGGGTGGGGGCCACCCTGACCCCCGGGGTCCCGCAGGCATCGAGCCCCAGGGCAACGTGGTGCTGAAGCCGGCGCAGTTCACGGTGGAGACCCTCGAGGCGGGGGTGGGCGAGGTCCTGGTCTACGTCGAGGACCCCGAGGGTCACACTGAGGAGGTAAGGGTGGGGGGCACCCCAACGCCTGGGTCCCCCCAGCGCCCCCCTGGGTGGGGGTCCTCCCATCTCTCCGTCTCCATGTCACCTCTCTCCATTTTTGGGGGGTTCCCGCCAGGCCAAGGTGGTCCCCAACAACGACAAGAAGAGGACGTACAGTGTCACCTACGTGCCCAAGGTCGGGGGGCTGCACAAGGTGAGCGCCCACCCGCCCACGTCCCAGGGGTCCCTGGTGGGGGGGGGTCCCCCGCTTCGTGTCCCCTCTGGCGTGGTCACCGGGGTGCCCCCGGTTGGCGGTGGGGGACGCGGCCACCCCTGACCCCTCCGTGTCCCGCAGGTGACGGTGCTGTTCGCGGGGCAGAACATCGACAAGAGCCCCTTCGGCGTCAATGTGGGCATGGCCCTTGGGGACGCCAGCAAGGTGACAGCGCGCGGCCCCGGCCTGGAGCCCGTCGGCAACGTGGCCAACAAGCCCACCTACTTCGACATCTACACCGCAGGTGGGCTCTGGTGGCCACCACGCAGGGAGGGGGAGGGGGTCACCGCTCCAGGGAGGTGCGGGGACGTTGGCATGGGCCGGTGGCACTGAGGTGTGGCATGGCCGTGGTGGTGCTGGGTGACATTGAGGGCATGTCTTCATGGTGGCGTGGCCATGGGATGACCTGGTGGCTCTGGGGACGTGTTCTCATGGCAGCATGGCCATGGCGTGGCTTAGTGGCACTGAGACTACGTCCTCATGGTGGCGTGGCCATGGCGTGGTTGGGTGGCACTGAGACCGTGTCCTTCTCATGGCACGGCCGTGGGAGGGCCTGGTGGCTCTGGGGCTACGTCCTCATGGTGGCATGGCCATGGCGTGGCCTGGTGGCACTGAGACTGTGTCCTCATGGTGGCGTGGCCATGGGATGGCTGGGTGGCACTGAGGCCACATCCTCCTGGTGGCATGGCCGTGACATGGCCTTGTGGCTCTGGAGCCACGTCCTCATGATGGCATGGCCATGGCATGGCTGGGTGGCACTGAGACCGTGTCCTTCTCATGGCACGGCCGTGGGAGGGCCTGGTGGCTCTGGGGCCGTGTCCTCATGGTGGCATGGCCGTGGTGGTGCTGGGGTCATGTCCTTGCCGTGACGTGACCAGGGGACACTGAGGTGTGGCATGACCGTGGCATGGCCTTGTGGCTCTGAGGCCGTGTCCTCATGGTGGCATGGCCACAGTGGTGCTGGGTGGCACTGAGGCCACCTCCTCATGGTGGCATGGCCATAGGATGGCCTGGTGGCTCTGGGGCCGTGTCCTCATGGTGGCGTGGCCATGGCATGGCCTGGTGGCTCTGGTGGCACGGCCATGGCATGGCCAGGTGGCACTGATATCATGTCCTTATGGTGGCACAGCAATGACGTGGCTGGGTGGCACTGAGCCCGTGTCCTTGCCCTGGCTTGGCCGGGTGGTCCTCACTGTGTCATGGCCTGGTGGCACTGGGGTCACGTCCTTGCCGTGACATGACCAGGGGACACTGAGGTGTGGCGTGACCATGGCGTGGCCTCATGGCTCCTCCTGGTGGCATGGCCCTGGCATGGCAGGCGGCTCTGGGGCCACGTCTTTATGGTGGCATGGCCATGGGATGGCCTGGTGGCACCGAGGCCACGTCCTCACAGTGGCCTGGCCATGGCGTGGCCTTGTGGCTCTGGTGGCATGGCCACGGCATGGCTTAGTGGCACTGGCACCATGTCCTCCTGGTGGCACGGCCATGGCGTGGCCTGGTGGCTCTGGGGCCGTGTCCTCCTGGTGGCATGGCCACGGCATGGCTTAGTGGCACTGGCACCATGTTCTCATGGTGGCACGGCCGTGGCGTGGCCTGGTGGCACTGAGCCCATGTCCTCGCGGTGGCAGGGGCTGGCCCGGGCGACGTGGGCGTGGTGATCGTGGACCCCCAGGGCCGGCGGGACACAGTGGAGGTGATGCTGGAGGACAAAGGGGACAACATCTACCGCTGCACCTACCGGCCCGTCCTGGAGGGGCCCCACACCGTCTGCGTCACCTACGCCGGCGCCCAGATCCCCAAGAGCCCCTTCACTGTCAACGTAGCTGAAGGTGAGACCTGTCCCGGGTCCCCACTGTGGCAGCCGGGGGTGGCCATGGTGGCCCCGTGACACCCATCAATTCCCCGGGTGGCCCCATGGGACCCATCAGTGCCCACGGTGGCCCCATGGCACCCTCTGTCCCCAGGGTGTCCCTGGGACACCCATCAGTCCCAGGGTGTCCCCATGGGTCCCTTATGTCCCCAAGGTGTCCCAACGGCACCCCTCATGTCCCCAGGGTGTCCCCATGACACCCCTCTGTCCTCAGGGTGTCCCCATGTCCTTCCATGGCATCCTTATGCCCCTGGGGACCCCATGGCACCCCTCAGTCCCGGGGTGTCCCCATGGGTCCCTTATGTCCCCAAGGTGTCCCAATGGCACCCCTCTGTCCCCAGGGTGTCCCCGTGGGTCCCTGATGTCCCCAAGGTGTCCCAATGGCACACCTCTGTCCCCAGGTGTCCCCATGGGTCCCTTACGTTCCCAGGGTGTCCCCATGTCCATCCATGGCACCCTTATGCCCCTGGGGACCCCATGGCACCCCTCAGTCCCCAGGGTGTCCCCAATCCCCCCCTCTGCCCCCACCCCGCGTCCCCAGCGGTGCCCATAAGCCCTTCCCTGGGTGGGGGGGGGACCCCCCAGCCTGGGCCCCCCCAGCACCCATGGGTGCTGAGGGTGCCGCCGTGCCGCAGCGTGCACCCCCTCGGCGTGCCGGGCCACCGGCCGGGGGCTGCAGCCCAAGGGCGTGCGGGTGCGGGAGACGGCCGACTTCAGGGTGCTCACCAAGGGCGCCGGCACCGGGGAGCTGCGGGTGCTCGTCAAGGGGCCCAGTGAGTGTGCGAGGGCGCGGCTGGGGGTGCAAGGGCGTGGGTGCAAGGACGTGGGTGCAAGAAAGGGTGTCCATGCAAAGGGCAGGGGCGTGCGAGGACGTGGGTGCAAAGGGTGCGGGTGCAAGGGTGCAGGGACGTGGGTGCATGCAAAGAGTGTGCGTGCAAAGGGTGGGGGTGCAAGGGCAGGGGTGTGCAAGGACATGGGTGCAAAGGGTGCGGGTGCAAGGACATGGGTGCATGCAAAGGGCGGGTGTGCAAGGGTGCGTGGGTGCAAGGACATGGGTGCATGCAAAGGGTGGGTGTGCAAGGTTGTGTGGGTGCAAGGACATGGGTGCATGCAAAGGGCAGGCGTGCAAGGGTGTGTGGGTGCAAGGGCAGGGGTGTGCAAGAACATGGGTGCAAAGGGTGCGCGTGCAAGGCTGCAAGGACACGGGTGCAAGGAAGGGCGGGCGTGCAAAGGGCAGGGGTGGGCAAGGGTGCAGGTGCAAGGGTGGGTGGACAAAGGCAGGGGTGTGCAAGGGTGCGGGTGCGAGGGTGCAGGGGCATGGGTGCACTCAAAGGGCGGGTGTGCAAGTGCATGGGTGCAAGGGCAGGGGTGTGCAAGGACGTGGGAGCAAAAGGGGGGGGGCGTGCAAGGGTGTGGGTGCGAGGAAGGGCGTGCATGCAAAGGGCAGGGGTGTGCAAGGACGTGGGTGCAAAGGGGAGGCACGCGAGGGTGAGGGTGCAGGGACATGGGTGCAAGGAAAGGCGGGCATGCAAAGGGCGGGCGTGCAAGGGCGCGGGCGTGCAAGGGCCTGTCCTGTCCGCAGAGGGCACGGAGGAGCCGGTGAAGGTGCGGGACGCGGGCGATGGCGTCTACGAGTGCGAGTACCACCCCATGGTGCCCGGCAAGTACCAGGTGGCCATCATGGGGGGGGTGTGCGTGCAAAGGGGGAGCGTGCAAGGTGCGTGGAGGGTGTGCAAGGGGGCGTGCGTGGTGTGCAAGGGGGGGTGCAAGGGACGAGCAAGGCACGTGGAGGGTGCGCGTGGTGTGCAAGGGGCGTGCAAAGTACAAGCAAGGCATGTACTTTGGAGAGTGGAGAGTGTGCAAGGGGCGTGCAAGGGGCATGCAAGGTATGAGCAAGGCATGTGGGAGGTGTGCAAGGGGCATGCATGGTGTGTGAGGAGTGTGCAAGGTACAAGCAAGGTACGTGGAGGGTGTGCAAGGGGCGTGCATGGTGTGTGAGGAGTGTGCGAGGGGGTGTGCAAGGCACATGCAAGGCACATGGGGGTGTGCAAGGGGTGCGCAAGGGAGCTTGCACGTGGGGAGCACGCAAGGCACATGGGGGTGTGCAAGGGAGGTGCCTAGCACGCAAGGAGCGTGCAAGGGGGTGTGCAAGGCAGGTGGAGGGCGCGCAAGGTGCGTGGAGGGCACGCGAGGCCCATGGCGGGTGTGCAAGGGGCAAGTGTGGTACATGATGGGTGCGCAATAGGTGCGAGGGGCGTGCAAGGAGGTGTGCAAGGCGCGTGGAAGGTGTGCAAGGTGCATGGTGGGTGTGCAAGGGGTGCGCGTGGCACGTGATGGGTGTGCAATAGGTGCAAGGGGCATGCGAGGAGGTGTGCAAGGTGCATGGTGGGTGTGCAAGGCCCATGGCGGGTGTGCAAGGGGCATGTGTGGTATGTGATGGGTGTGCAATAGGTGGGAGGGGGTGTGCAAGGCGCGTGGAGGGTGTGCACGGTGCATGGTGGGTGTGCAAGGGGCGCGCGTGGCACGTGACGGGGGCGCAATAGGTGCGAGGGGGCGCGCGAGGGGGCGCGCGAGGGGGCGCGCGAGGCCCATGGCGGGTGTGCAAGGCACACGCGAGGCCGACGGCGCTGACGCGGGGGCCGCAGGCCCCTCGAGGGGGAGGGGGGC